AATTCGGCTACTGTGGTAAATTATTAAAGGTCAAAAATTACATCTATGGAAAAATCTTCTAATTAAATTTCAAATAAGAAAATATGATAACGCATTGAAACCACGATTGCAAATTTTATTAAAACAAATATAGGCACTTATAAGGATATAAGTATATATGTACATATGTATGTAGCTAGTTGAATAATGACAGATAGCACACCCAAAACGTATTATGGCCAACTTTTGCCTCGATTTACGTCGGTCGACATTTTGACAGAACAAAAAGTTTTCGACGCGAAGCCAAGCAAAATGTTGGGCAACTCTCATCTTTTTATGCTTTGCCCAGCAGCCGTCGTCATTTATATAAGAGAGAAGCACTGAATACAACGCGTTCATTGTGGCAGTGAAGTAAAACACAATGTAAATAGATAATTCAGTTCAAATTTTCTGCATGTATTTCTTCTTTATATTCTTTAGTTCAATATGCAAAACAAAAATGTATATTCCAATTTTCAAAGCAATGTATATTCCAATTTTCAGAACAATATAACATAGGCACCATTGAGTCTGCGTTCAGTTAGCTTGAATTGAAAATACCGTTACTTCTCATGAATTTGTTCGTTTCTTTTGCGTAGATTCTATTGTGTCTTAATATAATTAGTCGTTTAAAGAGCTCGGGACGCGTTTAATAATATTTAAAAATGGAAACAAAGATTATAAGAAAATTATAATTAAGTTGTGGAAAGTTGGGAAAGTTTCAGAATAATTGGCAAAACTATTGGAAGAACGTATTCTTTGCCTCGGGGCGTCAAACAATTTAAAAACGGATTTTAACGTCAAAACCGCGATCTGGCCTCCGAAAATATATAGCCGGGAAGAAGAAAATAATAATATGGTGAAAGTTAACCCTCGAATTACGCCAAAGATTATTGAAACGTAAATATAACCAGAAAATTTTGCATTTTTGCCATAAATTGTGTGGCGCAAGTCAAGACTGCCCTTGAAAAGCAAAATCTTGTTGGTACAGTTAAACACGAAGGTGACGGAATTATGGTGTGGGGTTGTTCAATGGCGCTGGTTGTTGTGGGTCAGCTTTGAAATATTGAATCATCAATGGATAAACGGGGTTATTTGAACATTTTTAAAAAACAATTGAAACAAAGTGCAGAGAATCTGATCAATCTTCGACGTTTTGTTCCAAAAGATAATGCCTGAAGATCTGCGAAATAGTTGACTTTGGCTCTTGTATAATACTTCAGACAATTCTAAAAACGCCTCAATCACTGACCTAATCTATTGAGCAGCTATATCTATAGATCTGTTGGAAAAATAATTAGTCGTATACAATAACAAGTAAAGAGGCTTATGCGATGTATGAAGATAAGTTAGTAAGATCAATGCTCAAATCGATTGAGCGAGGTTTTTAAAACAACGGCCTATCCAACAATTATTGAATTTAATTTTCTATAATTTTTAATACTTTTGTAACTAATTTTATAAGCGGACGCAGACTTAATGGTGCCTATATTACATTCTCCTTACACTAATCCCAGTCACTGAAAAGTAGGATATACATTTTTGTTTTTGGTTGAATTAAGAATTAAAGAAAAAAAACATGTAGAATATTTGAACTGAAATTACCTATTTACATTGTGTTTTACTTCACTTAAAAAGGTCGAGTAAACGAGCTTTATGCTATGTGTATGTGCATATAAACATACTAGTTGTAATAATGACTCGCGCTATGTCCCAAAACGTATTATGGTCAACTCCACCTAGAACTTTGCTTCGCTTTAAGGTCAGTCCATTTTTTTTTCCCCCCTCCACCACCGCCACCTCTTTTACAAACTGAATATATACCTCAAGGCTCTGGAGTGGACGTAACTTCTACTATAAATGGGGACGTTAATAATAGAATTACTGAAGAGACAGTTGATAAGAAAAAGCACTTGCCCCCATTTTACGATTCCCGGACCGATCTTATGAAAGCAATTCGGGATGGTAAAATGCATTTATCTGTAAGGTATTTCTTATTATTAATTAATATTTTGTGTTTAGGTATTACTCTTAGGAAAGTGGAGAAATGTGAGCAAAAGGAAATCGAAAGGAACACGGCCTTACATGATGTAGCTTCTATTTTGGCTAGACGAGTTGCCATTGAACTTTCCGAATCGGAGGAATCAGATTCTGATGATGATAGTGAAGGATGGATGGAATCAACGGAAAACTCAGCATAACTTTTTATATTACATTGATCAGTGTAATCAGAATAGCACAAAGGCAATTAAATTTGAGAGTAATCTATGTGCTCCATTTAGTAATTATTCGTATATGTAATTTCCATTATAAAAGATTTTCGGTAAATTAAACGTCAAAAATTTCATCAATGAAAAAATCTTCTAATTAAATTTTAAATAAGAAAATGTGATCACGCATTGAAACCACGAATGCAAATTGCATTAAAACTAATAGAGGCACTAATAAGGATAATATATACACATAGCCCATAAAATCTGGGTTCACCCGAAACATTTTTTTAAGT